TAACCAAGTAATAAAATGTAAAACAAACAAGTTTTTGTGCAATTTTATTTGTTTATTAAGCTTCCATTACATCCGAGATTTTCAGTTTTACCCCATCTGGGGTAATTTACCCCGGTTCCCCGACATAGGTTCTAGAGCATCTCCAAAGTTTCGGCAAACAGCTTACTACCCAGCCTGGTGTTGATGACACCGGTCATCAACACCAGGTCTGCACCAGGGAACACTTCAATGTTACTCCACTGACGACAGGTCCTTCAAAAACCCGACCTACCTCAGCTGTACAACTGCTACTTCTACCCTCTCACAGCTTTTCACCTGACTCCCTTCTGTATATACTAGTTTATTAGCTACTTGTTTCACCATTGTCTTAAAATGTTTTTGTCAGGTATGTGCGGTTGTAGTTGGAAATTAATTGCGGGATCGCAGTCTGGGGACCACCAGGGGACGCATTTCTCGTAATGTTCACTCAAGGCTCGGGGGGATGGGGAGCGTAGCTGCTGATAGACTTGGAAAGATGATTTAGTAACTTCTGTACCAGTTAGGGTAAGCAGGGAGAACACTGTTTTGTACAGTGTCCAATCTGCATGTTGAAACTCCCTTTGGGATCGGCGAGGGAAACTGGTGTATGAGAGGCAGTGAGAAATGGGATATGATCACTGTCGTGAGGATCATTTATATCGATCCAGTCGAATTCTAATCTTATAGAAGATGAGCAGCTAGAAGTCTGCAGCTAAAAGGATCGATATGTATACTCGTAAGGTCTCCATTGGTTATATAGAGATGGAAAAGTTAGACAAGACTAGTTGATCTCAGAGTTGCAGTGAGACCCTTCCCAGAGCAGATTTAAAATCTCCTAATAAGAGAAATGGTTTAGATAAGAATATTAAGCTTTGCAAGTCAGATACATAAGACGGGGTGTGAAGGAGAGAGTCAGATGGTGTACCACTTATGCTTTGTCGTGATGTGGGGGGGGGGGGGAATGAACGACAGTTAAGGATGCGAGATATTGCGCACCAGAAGTGAATTTTCATTGTAGAATTCTTTAGGACAAGGATCGAAAAATCTTCAATAAAACATACCTTGAGTGGGAAGTCCGACTTTATTACATGGTTCAGTTTCTTACACACTCGTACATACAGGAAAAAAAACGGGAAATGGACAATTAACTCTCCTTGGTTCCTCCTGTGTATCTTGATATTCCATTGTAATATTGGTAGTATATGCAAAACAACCACTGTAAAAGAATAGTGAAATTCCAAGCGCTTTCGTGACTTCTCACATTATCAAGAAACTATGGAATTGGAATTTCACTATTCTTTCACAGTGGTTGTTTTGCATATTTTTATATCACCTGTTTACTGTGATCTTATTGTATTGGTAGTATATGTAATACAGTGGTATGGAAAAGTAAGAGGTAGCTATGAACTAGTCATTGAAATTGACACGAGATGGTAAAGGCACAGTGGTAACAAAAATTTGTGCGGCAGTTCATTGTCATTAGAAATGCGTTTTTAAATATGTAGTTAGTAAGTACTCGGAGAATGGAGTTTTTTTTTTAATGGAGTCGAAGCTGTACAATACATTTGAACACTTAAATTTTTAAGTAACTGTTCAATGGATTTTCCTCGTCTTGGGTTAACTTCAAGATCTATTTCTTGACACTTCTCTTCTAGGTATGTTGTTGTGGTCTCAATTATCTCATTGGCTCAAATAAACTGAAGACGATGGGATAGTAATAGGTATACAGTCCTAGCTGAAATCAATGACATACTACTATACAGAAAGCCTCTTGTTATGCTGAGCATTTCAGGCAAATTAGGTCAGTTTTGTCCCAGGATGCGACCCACACCAGTCGACTAACACCCAGGTACCCATTTTACTGATGGGTAAACAAGGACAGCGGATGGCTTAGGAAAACAAGTCCCTAATGTTTTCCAGCCGTACCGGAGGAGATTCAAACTCCGGGCCTGAGTGTGAGAGCTTGAGTGCGCTAACGATCGAGCTAGTAAGGGTACATTGTGAAGTACACAGCAATAGGTACATTGGTGGTTAAGAACGAGATAAGATTTTTGGTGTATCGGGGGAGGTAGAAGTTTTTAAGAATAAATCTGACTGTTTAGAAAGGGAAGAAAAGTGTGAGGGACGCATGCATATATGTGACAGTCTTAGATATAGAATGGACCCGAGCCCGGGGAAGTCATCTGAGAAAGAAGTGTAGGGATGGTGAGACAGTGGTGCCAGTCGGCTGGGACCTGAGATCTGGGATGTGGTGCCAATGTCAGAGAATGGAAATGTAGGAGAATTTTAAGTATAACAAGGACTTAAGGATTGTATACAAGGATGTTAAGAGGTGTTTCAGAGGTTGAGGAGGTCGGGTTGCTCTGGAGAAAAACTGGACACGTTTCACTGCAGTTTAGATATGATGATGAACGATCGCAAGAGGAAAGTTATGGCCAGTGTCTCCGCAGACTCGTACTTGGTTATTGGCAGTAGTCTGCCAGGTGTCCATAGCACCAGTACATAGTATTGTTAAGGTGTTAGTTTTAAATTCTCAGTGATGGCCTGCTATGTAGACGGGGTTGGAAGTACAAGGCAATTGTATTAATTTGGCTATATTAATGGGGTATCTTATTTAACCTCGGGCTGGAAACATGTTCTACATTAGTAGTAGAATGTTTGTGGATGTACTGAACACATTCTAAAAGTCTCTTGTACTATCTAAAGCGGGACAACAACAGTTTCATGTGTTGAGAGTGAAGTCAGACTATTTCAACTACAATGTTTCCAAGACGTGGTGGCGATGTTTTTTTCATCCTGGTCGGTGTCGCACGTGATGCACATCTCTTTTATTGTAGGGAAATCAAGGAAGGTTCCTTGATGTTGGTGAGGGGCTCTTGATTTAGGGAATTGGATCTGTGCTCCAGTCCCCCGAGTTAAGCCTGAATGTCTTCCACCCCAATGGAAATAAGTCACTCTGTCTGACTTTGGGTTATCCCAGGTTCTCTACACATATGCTGCTATGTATGATAATTCTATGTAACTGTATTTGTGTATACCTGAATAAACTTACTTACTTACACATCCCCCCGCCAGGCGCTGTATAATCCTCCGGGTTTAGCGCTTCCCCTTTGATTATAATAATAATAATAATATTGTAGGGAAAAGAGATGTCTTGTCCTATGGAAGACAAACTACTATTTTTTTCTAAGTGGTGGTTATTGATATATTAGGTATTATGGGTTCAAGTATGAAAAATTTTGCTCGTGACTGTTATACATATCCTGTAGTGGAAGAGGATCCCAGACAGTGCTAAGCACGATATTGTATGGTTGTGTGCAATAGTTTGGTTGGGAGACTGTCATGACCGTTTTCTTCGGTTGATGCCCTGACTTAGTGGAGTTATAAATGCAATCAATATTCTAGACGTGAAAGTACAATCACTAGTGATATTTTTGTTTTGAATTCTCATTATTCATTTTATTGGCTTTACCATTTTTGCTAAATTACATCTGGCATTAAGTTTACCTATTTGTCCTCCGATATTATCAGCCAGTGTTCTGTGTTCACTGCTCTTTTTTTAAGTCTTCATTCCTCCCATACCTAAGCAACTAAAATTTGTCACCATTGACCATTTCGTAATTTTCGTTTGCACGACAAACGTCAGATAGAGTTGAAACTGTAGCTGATGTTTGTCGTCCGAATAGGTAAAATTGGTAAATTAGCAAAAACTTGTTTAAAATTGTAATTTCTAAAATTTTCTCTTATACATTAGATATTTTTTATTTATGTTAATGTAAAAATTAATAATTTTGTACCAAACGAACCTTAGGAAACTTGCCTAACCTTATTATAACAAGCTCAATTTAATTTAGCCTAATCCAAATAAATATATTTTAGGTAAGTTTACAATAATTTAATAAAAAAACACAAATATATTTTTCTTTAGACTCAGTATTATTTTTGCGAAGTTATTATATATACAATTTTTTGCTTACCTTGTTCGGCAAGAATTGCGTTGCTATTTAAGTAAAAATCACAAGTTTTACATATTCGGCATGACATATATATGTCTGCTGTGAGAATAAGGTGCTAGGACCGTGCCTTGACATATTGTATATATTACTCCCCAGAGATGACTTGTCTACCACTGTTCTGTCAGAAATATGAATATATAATTCATTACTGTTTCTGTTAGTCCATGAAGTGAGGGACCAATCCGTACATCACTCTAGGGTCACATGTGTCAAATTCTTTTGTAGAATCCGTGCAAATAACATCTACATTTTGGTTTACTTCCACAGGCTGTTATTTTGGTAATGTTTAGTAACTGCGACAAAAAAATAATCTTCCCGTTACATATCCCAAGCTCGCACACCTCACCTATAGCCACCTGTTCGCAGGTGCTTCTGTTCCCCTTCAGTGTATCTTGTGATGTGCCAGTGACTGGAGAATATTTTAAGAAGTATGCCCACGACTTTGATCTTTGTCTTAATCATGATTTTTATAATTACTGAGCTGCCTCTAGGTATCTCGCGGAACTTTTAGGGAGCATTTTAACAATTTAATAGGTCTTAACTGATGATGGTTATTTCAGCTTGGTATGATAGTATTTATGCTAGGTGCCTTTGTTAATTTTATCCTTGTTATTATGATGCTGTATATTTTCTATGGCTGTGCTGAGTGACCTACAGATTCGAAATGTCTGTAAATCCATGTTTACTTGTATAGATGTTTTTCTTTAAAAACACAATCGACGTTTCGACATCTTTTCAAACTGTTCCATCTGCGGGTAACTCGGGAAGGGGGGGGGGAAGTGGGGGGCAATCAGGTTCGATCCAAGGAAAGTTATGTAAAATTCCTTGGCAAATTCCGACTCGTTGGATAAGTGGGAAAAAACTTGAGTTTAGTGCAGTCTAGCCATCTTTAGTCTTGATAATAACCAATTACAACATTGTTTCTCACATTTACAAACCTACTACGCATCATGAATATCTTTGCAGGAAGATTGATGTGAATATCGAAGGCCTGGGTGTGTTGGGTTATGTCTTGGAGCCCCTCGCAGACGTGGTGACCAACCTCATACACGAAGACGTGGCCAACATCTTGGAGACAACGGGCAAAGAGTACCTCCAGGAAGCGCTTAATGAAACGCCCTGGCCTTGAGTCATGCAGTAGAGACGTAGCTACAAAGACGTCCTGAAAACTGTTGTTTTAATTGCTATTATGTGGCACCAAGCATCTTGTTCTATCTTAGAAAGTCATCCCAAATATCGTCAGTAAAACTTAAAACTCGCGAATTGGAAATGAAAATTGAACAGCATTTTGGTCAGTCCTAAATCATTGTCACTGAATTCAAAATGGTCCAAAAGTTTGTCCAGTTTTTATTTTAAATTTTAGCGGTTGCGAATTGTTAAAAAAAAAGCTGATTTTTATTCACCTATAAAATGTTAAAATATCCAGAGCAGTTTAAATTAAACTACAATGAAAATGCACTAATTTTGTTAATATATTAAATATTTCCTTTACCAAGGTAAATAGGTATGGGTGACGTACAACACTAATAAGACTGGCTAATCAAGGTAGGGGTGATGGAGGTGTGGGATGGCGAGGCTGTGCACTCAATGTTTACTTGGTGCCATAGGTTTGCTTCAGTTAAAAAAAGTAAAACATGGATTTCAGCGAGGAAGGAGGTTCAAGTGCGTTATGGTGTTCAAGATGTTGAAGGCGAATTCTGCACACTGAGAGGCCGGTCTATAATATATGATGAACCACTAGAGCTATACACAAATAGCCCGCATATAGAAGAGAGGAGCTTACGACGACGTTTCGGTCCGATTCGGACCCCACAGTGATAGCAAGATAGCCACGATTATCATTATATTCACAATATGCGCCAAACCCGTACGGGTCATAAAGTCCCACAAGGCTGTTTTATTGCAATCATGTCTCTTCGAAAAAAGTATAGAGTGCGCACTGTGTGTGAGCTATGATATTCCTTACTGCGGCGCTGCCCGTATATTTGCGCAAGTGGTACACTGCCTGTTTTGTTTCTCCCTCAACCCCTTCATTCTCGCCTTTTATCTACCCGTGATAAGTCTCTTCTTCCCATTGCCTTGCACGAAAGCCCAAATACCTACAGTAGCTTCTCGCTTCCTCTTCCTTAACCACTTCGGATCTCGTTCTCGTGCCGTTGCAGTACACTGATGGTTGTTAGGTAAGACACATATGCAACAGTTAGGTATCTTTATTTCGAAACGTTTCGCCTACACAGTAGGCTTTTTCAGTAGAGTACAGAAAAGTTGATAAAGCAGAAGATCCTTGAAGACGATGTAATCAGTCCATCACCCTTGAAGTTTTGAGGTGGTCAGTCCCTCAGTCTGGAGAAGAGTATTGTTCCAATACAGATCCTTATTATTTGTGAAGATAAGGTCAAGCGTGTTTTCTAGTCTTGTTGGCTCCACTATCTGCTGGCTTAAGGTGTGTTTATCCCAGAGACTTGGTAGCTCGTATGTGTGTGACCTTTCATCTGCGCTACCTCCAGGGATTGTTTCAGCTATAACATTATTTGCTACATTCTTCCATTTTGTATGCCTTAGGTTGAAATCACCAAGCAGCAAGATGTTTGGGGATGGAGCTGGAAGGTTTGCCAGACAGTAATCAATTTTCAGTAGCTGTTCCTTGAACTGTTGTGAGGCTACATCTGGTGGCTTATATACAACCACAATGACTAGGTTTTGGTTCTTGATCTTTATTGATAGAACTTCAACTACATCATTTGTGGTGTTCAGCAACTCCATGCAGATGAGCGACTCTTTGACATACAAGCCAACCCCCCCTTGTTTCCTGTTCATTCTGTTGCATCTAAAAAGGTTGTACCCACTTATCCATATTTCACTGTAAAAGTGATCTTTTGTGTGGGTCTCTGTGAAGGCTGCAAACATTGCATTAGACTCCTCTAGAAGTCCACTGATAAAATGTATTTTGTTGTTGTTGGATGGCTTAAGGCCCTGACACCCCAGAAATCTTTCGCCAGTGTTGCAGTGACCAACATTAGAAATTTCTTCCTTTTGAAATACAAGTTGTATGCAGCTTGTGTATATACATAAATCTTGTAGTTTGCAGCGGTCACAATATACACAACGAAAAGCAAATATTCCTCCAGTAATCTTCACCAGTCAACAATAGTGATAAAATAGCATTTGTTGTGGTGCAGGTAGAAAAAAAGCCTAGAAAAGTTAAATACAGTGATCTGTAAGTGCCCAAAACTTCAGATGGTAAAAAAGGATGCCAGAGGTCACCGGTCGTTTGTCATAGTAGGAGCTGCCAGCACTGGTATCTCCAACATGCAAGTTAGATTTTTTTTGTATCTGTTAAATATTATTTCAGTGGTCCTTTAATGAGCTATCCCAAAAATCCCCGACCAGATTCATTAAAATAAGTGATCCATTGACTGGATTTTATCCGGATTCATCTTGTAAATAAGCGAGCCAATGATCACATTCAAAACAGTTTCTAGGCACCCTTAACACCCAAACAGATTCATTGTTAAAAAAAAAAAAAAAACTAGGGTATCCTCTGACCGGATTCATAAACTGACTGGGTTTTAGGTGGCCTTTTCAAACACCCAAACAATAACTACTAGAGCAGTAAGATTGCCCCAAACACATACACATACAAATAAAATAGATACAATATAAATAGATCTCCACTTTAAGGAAGCTATTAGTAGAATATACAATAAAACTACCAATAAAATTACATCATGAAATCTGTGTAGTCTGCGATCAAACAAACAAACGGGCTACTGCATGGATTACATGCAATTTGTGGGAAATGGACACACGCACCTTGTGCAGATATTCAGGAATCATCTACAAGAGATATTTAACCAGGGAAGTGTTTTTGGTTATGCCCAAATGAGACCGAAGTATAGAATAAAACCACATTGGTATTAAAAGATAACATCAAAATGGCCTTCATAAAAAACATGACAGAATTCTATAAAAGAGGAGAAAACAAAAAACCTGGACCAGATGGTGTTATCACCCCTGGTACAAATGCTGTCTTGGTAGACAGTAAATGTAAGAATAGAGAAATAAATGATGGTGGCCTAGAGGGGGACAGGAGCTCTAGTGGGGAAACAGGTATAGACAAGGACAAGGGCATGCAAAAATGAATGTTACAAATTAGCAATACACAAGGGGATGCCCAAAAAAATAGTGAAGATAAATTACCAAAAATAACTGATGAAGGCTTCACTGTTAGCACTAGTGCTGAAGACAGAAATGAGACAGGAAAACACGCACTAGTAGGGAATACAGTCACATAAAACCAAGGCAAACAGAGTCCAGGCCTATGCAAATTCTATGCACTTGTATCTGCAGGCATGGAGTATCTGGAAAAACAGATGGCTCGTGTAATTTTGACCACCCCAGGAAATGCCGTGCCCATATGAAAACAGGAAAATGCTACCTCACTTCCTGCAAGCTTTTCCACCCTGAAATGTCACTCTTCAGTTCAGGAAGGACAGTACTATAACTTATATTGTCAGGCACACCACCTAAAGGGTACAAGAAGACACAGAGCATCCAGACCATGGGACAACCTGGGTAGCCACAACCACTCCAGAGAAAGAGGTTTTCAGCGCCAGGAAGGGAAAAGAGCTGGCAGGAAACGACAGAAATCGTACACCAACTCCAATCATTTCTGGAGTGGAATCAGTCGATGGCCTCCACTCCAGCGCAACAGATAATAGTGCCAGGAAAAAATCCCTCCCATTCCCCCAATACCACCAATCTGACGATATTTATCTTAGCAAATATACAGGGTCTAAAGCCAGCAACGAACAACAAAATACCTTTCATCCGTGGACTGCTTAGAGTCAAATGCAATGTTCGAGGTTTTCACAGAGACCCACATAAAGGATCACTTGGACAATGAAATATGGATCGAACTAAAGCTAAAGGAATCTTACAGGAGTCAAGAAATGTGAGAAGAACTAAAAGCCATAAATGAAATTGAAAGGAACCCAAAGTATTTCTTTTCTTATGCCAAATCAAAGTCGAGAACAACATCCAATATTGGGCCTTTACTTAAACGGGATGGGTCCTACACAGATGACAGCAAGGAAATGAGTGAGCTACTCGAAGTCCCAATATGACTCGTTTTTTAGCGAGCCGCTAACCAGACTGAGAGTCGAAGAAATATTTTTTTTAAGAGAGAGAGAATGAGAATTTGGTAGACACAAACCTATTTGATATCGGGCATAGACAGGGATATAAGCCATAGTGCCATGTCTTCCTTTGTAGATGACACCCGAATTTGCATGACAGTATCCTCCATTGAAGACACTGAAAGACTCCGGGCAGACATCAACCAGATCTTTAAATGGGCTGCAGAAAACAATATGAAGTTCAATGACGAGAAATTTCAATTACTCCGATATGGAAAACGTGAGGAAATTAAAATTTCATCGGAGTATAAAACAAATTCCAACCAAACAATAGAGCAAAAAAACTCATGTCAAAGACCTGGGAGTGATCATGTCAGAGGATCTCAACTTCAAGGACCATAACATTGTATCAATCACATCTACAAAAGTGACAGGATGGATAATGAGAACCTTCAAAACCAGGGATGCCAAGCCCATGGTGATACTCTTCAGGTAGCTTGTTCTATCTAGGCTGGAATATTGCTGCACATTAACAGCACCTTTCAAGGCAGGTGAAATTGCTGACTTAGAAAATGTACAGAAAGCCTTCACAGCACACACAACTGCGATAAAGCACCTCAATTACTTGGAAAGCTTAGTTCCTAAACCTGTCCTCCCTAGAATGCAGGCGGGAGAGATGCATGATTATATACACTTGGAAAATCCTAGGCATTTGTACCAAACTTGCACACGAAACTCGCTTCCTACGAAAGCAAAAGACTCGGCAGACGATGCAACGTCCCCCCAATGAAAAGCAGAGGTGCCACTAGCAAGATAAGAGACAACACAGTAAGTGTGAGGGGCCCAAGACTGTTCAACTTCCTCCCAGCACACATAAAGGGGATTACCAATAGACCGCTGGCTGTCTTCAAGCAGGCACTGAACAAGCACCTAAATTCAGTACCTGACCAGCCGGGCTGTGGGTCGTACATTGGACTGCGTGCAGCTAGCAGTAACAGCCTGGTTGATCAGGCCCTGGTCCACCATGAGGCCTAGTCACAGACCGCACTGAAAGGGCATTTCCCCTGAAGCTCTCTACAGGTATACTCCAGGTAATGTTCCTGAGAGCTTTCCATATCTGCAGTCCTGAGTATTTAGATGAAATCGACAAGAGATTTAACATAGCCACAAAACTGAGATATCCCAGGGATTTCGTCGAGAAGGCCCTACTGTCTGCTAGGAAGACTTTCTACAGGACTGAACCTAGGGAAATGCCTGACAGGAAAAATGTATTGGTCTTGCCATACAACGACAATTTGGTCTGTCTGCATGAGGCACTAA